TACGCAAAGGACAAATCCAAGAAGAAGTTACTTTTGTTCGCAGCCTTCGGATTCGTGCCACTACTTTTTTTATTAACACAACTCACCCAGCTCTCCTTCTGAATCACCTATATACCTCGTGTATATCCGTGAATTTAATACCTCTTGTCTTGCGCTAATTAAATGTTTGCTTGCCTTCCCTGTTGGCTCAAAATCTCAAAGGTGAAGCTTTTCAAGCTCGCGTTTCTTTCGATACCACAGCGTTTCCCCAAGTTTGCATATGACAAGAACATTAATTTCCGAATTACCTTCAGTATTCTATTTACACTTCTGTGCCTGTTTTTCTTTCAATGCATTTTCATCGATCGGTCTCCCGATTGTCACATTTTAATCATTTCTCAGCGAATTTTGGAGTTACTTCCCTTAAGCTCCACCAATGAAACCAGTTTCAACAGTCTCAATAATTTGTGTTGTCAAAGCCATTCAGACAAACTTCGCACATGCTAGCTATTTTCATTCCAGACATTAAAAATACTGTCTTAGGAAACAAAAGTAATTACCAACATACAAATGACATGGAAATTCCTAACATTCACAAATTTCTTGACCATTTTCCTGAAAACTACTTAGTCAAAGCTGTGAAAATCCAGAAATTCGACATCCGTAATATTTGTGTTCGAAAGAATATAATGATATCCTGATATACATTTGTCAATATCTTTCACGTTCAACACTTCTGTAGATGCAAGTAAATTGCTGAGATTCTTGATCATGATCAGATAAATTGGTTTTCAGTGAAAATAAAATTGTGCCAGATCGGATACGGTGTTTCAAGGGAATATACGTATCAAAACCGTGAAGGCCATGAAATTAAGGTTGATTCTGAAAAACCAACTTCGCTTTTGCTAGTATGGAGGTGTAGAATTTGCATTAAAACGATAGAAAACATTGCCTGTCACCCAAAGATTCAAGAAGGACTATTTACAGATATTACTGACTATAAGAACATTAACTTGATCTCCGTACCATCAATAATCGTCGGAAAAATTACCCACAAACAGTTGTTATGACTTTTGCCTTGGCAAACCTGGTTAGTTTTACTAGCTTCTATTGATGATGTAACGTCCAATTTACACATCAAAATCACATTTCTTTTGATGAAATAGTCGAGGAAGTAGGGGTCGATCAGTCATCTATAATTTATACTTGGATTTCATCAGTTTTTGACAGAGCTTCATACAACTTTCCTTTTACACAGTCTTCATTATTTACCATTCGACATCTCTTTTATCCCCGTACCAGCATTTTTAACAGAATTTAGCCTGATCTTCATCTATGGACTTTGCTACTCTTTGCCTATGTATAAAGCCAGTGTCAGGAAATCTGCCTTTGAATGTACTCTGATAAGAGTGAATCTCATAATATCGTTTTTAGCTGAAAACGTGTTGTAACCCCTCGTTGTTGCCAATCATTTAAATGTAAGGTAAAACAGTATTTTAAACTTTTCCGAACACATTGTATCTAAAGTATTCAATCTTCGAATGTTCACGTGATCAATGGTGATTAATTTCAATAACACAAAATCTAGATTGCTATTATTTTATGAAAATTCTATCCTTTTCGTCCTTGAAAATGGAATTCTAGTGCAAATTACCCGTGAACGCGATGTACTGGAAGTTGAAAACTTTCATAGTATGTTCATTAAAGCTGTTTTAGAATATCTGATAATGTCACAGTTAACACCAAAGTTATTAAAGACTGATGCCAGACCCGAAATAGGTCAGTTGCATCAGTGTGCTGACTGCCTTACAAATGATATTTCTTACTCATCAGCATACATTGATGCTCCACCATCGGTCTAATAACTTGAACAGTTGGGAAAATATAACATAAGTTTACCTCAAAATTCCTTTGTTATGCTCCATTTATTCTAGTGAAGGGGACTACGAAAAATTCTTCGTTGCCCTGAAACTAACTCATTTTGAGAGATTCACAGATGAATTTCTCTCTGAAAGTGGTTTGTGTTACAATGTGACAACCACTGACCGAACAAATGAATCGCGATGTTTGTCAAACTGACCTTAAAAAGTAGTTATTTTGAATTCTTTCATGGTAATACCTAAAATCAGTCCAGGCTGATAATTATCATGATAATGACTGATCTCTTGACATATTCACTTCATCTCAGAATTTCTGCCAGATCATTTTAAGTATAAACGGGAAATCTTTTTTGACACCTACTAAAATAAATTGACTTTTAGTATTTATTTTCATTGGATCTAAATGTAATTTTGAAAAGTTCGTATTCGATAGCCACTGCTATTAATTCAAACGGTACTTGCAGCTCCCTAAACCGCAACTACCAGACTATTATTCTACGGCCATGTTTTACTACATTACTGATTTTTCATATATTTTGTGTAATCTATTTTATATCTCTGTTCTTAGTCTGTCACGTAGAAAGGTGAACTTAAGCTGTAGTATTTGTGTTTTTCACCTGTCCGTCGTACTGGCAATAGTCCCTTTTTCTCAAAGTGTAGTTTCTGTGGTTTTTAACCCGAAATAGAATATATCTTCTCTTGCAGTTTGACAATACGTGTCAAATGTGGTTCGTGAATGTGCTTCCTGACTGTTTGATCAACTTTGATGTCCGATTCGTCGGACACTGAGCAAACTATTAATCTGCTGATAGAGTGGGTGCACGATACGATAGACTATGTCCCATATATGGACATGACACATGCTAAACCCCTATGCTGCCAACTTCAGCGAAAAGGCAAGAGAAGAGAAAGTTTATTTAGCTACCGAATCATATACACATTTACTCGTTTACAAACACATATACTCCGTCATTTAGAAGATTAATCCATTGACGGTCAAAGATAATAATTCATCCTTTGGGACATTTCTGATTATCATCATGTGGCCTTCATATCCGGCCATTTCTGACTGACTCTCAACCTGGGACTCCCGATGTGATTAGACTCCCGGCGGTTCAATCTGGCTGGGTTCATTCTACACGTATTTATTATTAGTGAATCAGAAATATTGAATTTTTGGCGCCAGTACAAATATTCTACTCAGGCATTTTTGTACAACAGTATTTTGATGCGACGGCATGTTATATGAACCATTTACTGCTAACTTCATTTATATATCTGGTTGAATAATATATATTTAAAGTTATTTGTCAACTGGTACTCCGCGATAGATGGTTATTGCCAGTTTTTTCCCAATGACTTACGGTGGGCACAAAATGTTCCTCTGAAAATGCGATAAATGCCCAAACTAAGGAATCACTCGATGGTCCCTGACGTAAGCCAATGGGGATTTCGATCACCTAAGTTACTTGGCTATTACGAACCAGTTTATCTGTGTGGAGAATCCTGGAAGCTTCAGGTTAACCGAAGATGATATGTTATTACATCCTCAAATTACTAAAAGTGAAAGCGTACATTATGGATTAGAACAAAATTAAGATGGAATGGACAAAAACTTTGAGAAAAAGCCTAATCATTCCGTATAAAGCTGCTCAACGGACTTTTTAAGTCTTTAAAGATCATTTTTCCAAACAAATATTCCGATAAGGTTTTGGGCTTGTTTCTTCAACTCGTTATCTGATAGCAATCAAGCTGATGATGGCATCTGTTCACGTGAGCGTTCAAAGCATTTCCTATAACTCCAGATGAACAGAAGTAGATGAACTTTCATTATAACACTAACTTTATTGAATTTGGCATTTAGAGACTTGATGAATATTGGTAACATCTAGTCACCTTTGTCTTTTCTCAATCATATTTTCTATTATGGTCACTATTGTTTTCATTTCCCTTCATTTTAAGATAACTTAAGAAGAATGGCAACTTTACAATTCAAATGTTTTCTTTGAACTATAGCAAACCTGTAGCAGGAAATTCGACGAAAGTCCACAAGCAAAAAGTTAGATCATCATTATATTCAAAATGGCTCGACTTCAAAGATTAGATTAAAATTTATCCATATCAGGAGAAATGTAGTCTTTATGTTGCATGTACAACGTAGACTGAATTGTCATTAATAATAAGAATGTCATCAGCACTAACCTTTCATTGATAATTTTGAGATGTGATTGTTCTACTCTGACAGAAAAACTTTTAGAAAAATTTCAAAATGTTATTTATCTTCATCTAGAGTATAAGAATATAGTGTTATTTTTTCTACTGTAAAGCGACACAAATGTTTTAGGGTGTTTCTAAAGGCAACTCACAAAATCACTTGGTGGTTTAGAATCTCGCTTCCACAACGGACATCTGAGAGTATTTGGTCTGGACTTATCTGAAGATAAGGCACTCGAATGATTATCTGAAATAATACAAAAGCTCATGTGTTTTCGCCGAAACAGTTACCGAATTTTACTCACTGTTGTAGTGTAACAAGTTATAAGTACAGATTGGCGAAGTGAAATACTGGCAAAATTATATACATCCAAAAAGTAGCCAGGTTTTGGAGTTAAATACCGTGTGATTTGGTTCAAGCAACCTTCCATAAATTCTTTGAGATGAAATGTGATATAATGATTACAACCCAGAATATTAATCTATTTGGTTTACTAAACTTTTTTTACTTCACCTCCAGGTAAAATCGTTAATTTACTGCTCCTTAAAATAAAAGATTATTGGAGGCATTCTCTGATCGACCAACAACCATTTGAAAGTTTATACTATGGTACTCTAGTGACCTTGACGCCTTCCGAGGATCGAAAATTACTTGGCGGCTTTACGATTTGACATGTTGGAGACCTGTCGCCTCCAACTCTTAGTTTCATTTGTTACGTTGTCATAATTGTTCTACCCTGTTATTCCTGATTGTTTTCGGCTCAGCTACTGGATAAAAGTAGGCACATTAGATTTGCTTACCAAGCCATTGGTTCAATTTTCTCTTGTTCTTTCATGACCAGATTCTCGCATACTGCTCCTCACTCCCCTCCCGCTCATAACTTTCTTTCAGGCTGAGCGCAAAGCTATTGAAGTGTTAAATTCATAATGGTTCCCTCAGATGCAGATCCATGTCGTCTTCACTGCTCATCTCCAACAGATGTTCGTGATACTAAAACTCATGTGTCCAGAAATTTTGCAAGCATCTCTACAGGCTTCCATAGGTAAGTATTTTTGACCTACTCTAAAGGCTACCTGAATTCAGCAAACCCAAGTCCAGATGGACCATTGGTGACATTGACATTGGAAGGAAACTGGGGGAAGGTCGCTTCGGTTCTGTGCATCTTGCAAGGGAAAAAGCTAGTCGATTCGTCATTGCTTTGAAGGTTTTCCCAGTTCTAAAAGTCTAATACTTTAGATTCTATCAAAGTCTCGACTAATAACACAAGAACTAATGAAACAGGTGCAACGAGAAATAGAAATACAGTCACATCTAAAGTAGGAGTCTTTATGTTTCACATACTATTTTTCAGACATCCAAATATTGTTCGTATGTACAGTTATTTTTACGACAAAAAGCGTATATATTTGGTTCTTGAATACGTTCCTAAAGGTGAACTATCCAAAGAAATCAATCGCTTTGGTCATTTTGGCGATAGTCGCGCAGCAACTGTAAGTTTATTGATACGTAATACACATTACATAAGTACTTAAGCAAGCACAGTGGAATTCTAACGATTGTTAAAATTATAACTCAGTACATACCTACTTACAATATCAGTTCCTGAAGTTTCAGAGATTGGGAAATTATTTCATTTGGTGAAGTCGAACCACCAATAATACATGAACTGTCATGTTTCCCCTGTTATCGGTCAATCGTAATTACAGCATCCCCGATCATAAACAAGATACTTCCTATTGTTTTCAATTAACTATGTATTTCGATATGCTTAGCCTTGACAAAATTAAATATCTCCGTGTCATGAAGTCACGATTATATTTTTTTGACCTGCTTTTAAAGTTACAAATATCTAAATTATCCTAATTAGACATATTACAGAAGTCGATATAGTATATCTTAGCATATCTTCAAAGGAGCTGTTTAACTCTGGATGGTGAGGCATGAAGTCGACAGCCAATAGCTTACATCTTGGACAATATTACAGTTCAAATGTCTACGTGTGGATTTGCACATGCATACACTTTTAGTCAAAAGGTATTCGATCTTTTATATGAGCAACTTAGATGTGTTAATACTGACGCTAAGAACTGCCTATCCTTCGCAATCATTTCAAAGTGTAATCCTCTGCTGGATTTATTAACTGTAACAAGAAACACAACTCCGTGACGAAGTGCGAGCCATTGTTATAGTAAGCACTTATTATATCTGATAATCAATGTAATGATTACACTATGACATTGAGTTAGTCAGAACAGATGAGCTTTTAAGGCTCCCAGACTCGTAAAATATACTATAAGAATAAATTGATGCGGTAACTCTAAACAGACTAAAGAATCAGACAAAGTATTATTGATAGTACTTAGTCTAATAAAAATTATTGTTGTTGTAAATTGCCTCACAAATGAAGTGTTAATAAAGAATTTATTTTGAAAAGACTGTGCCTAAAACTATATCTAAAACTAATAAGAGTTAGGATGAACGTAAGGAACCAAGCTCAGTCTGGAAATAAGAATGATAAAATAGTACAGTGTTCGAGGCCCAAAAGCATATTTTCATAAGAGAAGTTAGTTTATGCCTAAAGTGTCCTGCTTTCAGTTAGGTCAAATTTTCCGACTATCGGATAATGTGACAAGTCCTTACATAAGTTATGTAGCTAACATTTTAATCCATGGACATGTAATTAGCTATAGAGTTACGTTAAAATTATTAATATGTTTATTAATAATGAAAAATGTAGCTGACGAATCACATGTTCTGCCCAACGATTATCAAAACTTTTGAGTTTCATGTACAGAGTTATCAATTTAAACCTGTTAACCACTGCTATTTTGTACCTGGCTTGATTTGGTGCAGTAGTGTCTATCAAAAATACCTCCTACCCTTCTACTCCAGTTGTTTATGAATGTGCTCCAAGAGGTAACACTTGGTCTGACTTCTCGTAAATAGATAGCTTTTTATGTGAGTCCACAAATAGGAGTATCTGGACAAAATGACTTTTTTAAGAAGATACTGACAGAATTTAGTCTTAAGGACGCTTTGAGTAAGAGATGAGAATGTTTAGGATCTACTTATCTTGATATGCAAAATATTTAATCATGACCAGCTTCTCAGAGCCTAAGAGTTTGGCACTCCACCCTCTGATGGTCGATAACATCAGGATGTGACAAGGTGCCCTCTTGAGTTATATATATATAATCTGTAATGCAAATGCCACATACATCTATCTGATAGCAAGTATGCTTCACAGCATTTTGCAAAACAGCCCGTGTGAATAGAAAAAATTTATATATCTCAATTTTTTGGTCATCATTGTTTTTGCAGCCTTGTTGGCGTATGGTGGAACCCTAAGCAAATTTATCTGGTCATTTGATGACACTGGTTCACCATTGACTGAGGTGATAGGGAGTTACGTTACACACACTTAGTCATTTCCTATTTCAACCAACTTTAATGGTTGAAGAAATCATAGTCAGAAAGACTATAATACGACATAAGTCCAGAAAACTACGAGCTTTTATTCCACACTTTATTGTGAGACAAACTGTTTTATTAGAGTTCGCGAGATAATTTTAATCTGTGCTCGAAGACTGGGTAACTTAGCTTAAAATCAGTCTTTTTGATTCATATTGGTTCATCTCTCATACTCTTGTGAATTTTTAACATTGCTTCATTCTCTGCTGGCCATTTCGTTGGCAAATTCACTCCTCTCAGTTTTTATTTCCTGTTTCTAGTTCACCACTATTAATACTACTTATACCATAACGTTTGCTCTTTTTAATTTCATCCCACCTTTCTAATGTGGAGTGTGACAGACTCAACAGGTGCACACTTGTACTAGGTACTACTTTGTTCATATTACTTTACAGTTGAGCCACGTTATTAATCTGTCAATCGACGCTAGTTTGTTTACAGGCGATAATTTGTTTTTCAGAAAGCTGGTACATGCCTCGAAACTTATTCCAGTGATGTTGACGATTTCACGCTTATTTGCTGTATATTCTAGTTGCATCTGTTTTGCTGTTATACATTTTTTACTTAAGCTCTTTTACTACATTAATATTGTTAGGTTTAACCAAACATAGTTTTATTATTCACAATTGTTATGCAGGTATTTTTTATGCTGTTTTACTTATCCGTTATTGTCATTGCATCTGATAACTGAGGACGGATACGACCCTATTCTTTGTAATGAAACAGGTGTAGTTTTTCTCAATGCACGACCTAGAAAGTAAGAGTTGACTCTATACAAATATGTATATTCGAGTGCGAAACCCCTAAGATTCATCTTCAAGTAAAACACAAATGGCTATATATTTTGGTTCTCATGTAAAACAATGATAGTCAACAATTGATAGTACTTAGTTGCATCTCTTTTAAGATCATTTAAATGGTCGTGAAATCATTTTAATTGGTAGGATTTAATTGTTTCATTTGTCTGAATTTATAATTTCATGCATATTAAACCGGCCTTTGTTACGTATATATGAAGCTACATTGTTCACGTTTTACAGTACGTATACCAACTTTCAAAAGCTCTTTCTTACTGCCATCAAAATGATGTTATACATCGAGATATCAAACCAGAAAATATACTTCTTGGGGCTCGTGGTGAAGTAAAAATTGCAGATTTCGGTAGCGCAGTTCATTTACCAGCGTCACGGTAAGTTTTATTTCTACTTTTATACAAGTAATTAGACGTATGGCTACTTTCGGTACGCTTAATTACCTGGCTCCTGAAATGTTCCATTTGGAGTGTGTTCATGATCATCGTGTAGACATATGGAGCTTGGGAATACTCACTTTTGAGATGCTCACTGGTTATCTGCCTTTTGATGGTAAAACCTTTCAGGAGATTTCCGAAAAGATCCAAACTACTGATGTTTCATATCCGGATACCTTAAATCCGTGTGCTGTAAAGCTTATTACTAGTGTGAGTTTGTCTTTATAAAACAGTATTTCATATTTGTTGCTCCATAACTGTGGGTTGATGGTTACTGTGTACATTGTGACATTGTATTGTATTGAAAATAATTTGCTACGAATATGCTTTTGACTGTAAGTGGAATGAACGTATTTGGAAGTTAGGTTCTACCTAATAACTAAGCACCATACAAACAATAATTATCAAACGAATCAGATTATTGTAGCATTTTGCAAATGAGGCTTTTATCTATCTGATAAATTAATTGGTAATGCCTTTTAATTTTAGATGCTTAAAAAGTTGTCGAGTCAGAGGATTTCTTTGAATGAAGTTGACAATTATGATTGGATTAAAACGCATGCTGAATTTTCTGTCAATCAGTGCAGAGCAGCTCTTCAAGATTGGGAAAATGTTAGTAGTCAGAATTCTACTTGTCCTTCATCTAGTAGTTACGAATGTTCATCTACATTTATAAATACATTTCTAAATGACTAATGCTTTTATATATTTCACATTACATTACCACTGGTTGTCTTTCAGTATATTTTTACATAATAATTAAAAAACTTATCCACTTAACTAAAAATATTTATCATTTTACTATAATTTAAATGCTTATGTATATGCATGTGACAGTATTTCTTGTAATTATTCCATCATAAATACCTGATGTACCTGTTTTATGTTATTGTTGAGTACATCTATAAATTAATTATACATATTTATGTCTGATTCAGTAAAAAACCAATATTTATGGACTATATTTTATTCGTTGCATTTTTGATTAAATATAGATTCCAGTAGTACAAAGTTTCCTATTACTTGGATCTTCAGGTAGTCTTAGGGCTAGTCAAGTTGTACAATTTTAAATGACTGCATTTAAAAAGGTTCGTTTAGTGAGGTTCCATTTTATTCTTGTATTGACTTTGTTGTAACCTAGTGACGGGATGTTTGGTTAATGTATGAAACTGCAGTGGCAATTTCAAAAGCTTAATCGAAATTTTACTGAAACTCATCTAGTTGGATATCTGGTTCTAGTATTTTTAAGCTGAAGACGTTACATTCCAGCTTTAAATTCCGTCTAATAACCCAGTTGTCTAGTGATTAGTGGTCTTGTCTATGGTTAATAGAATAGACTGGTTCACTTTTTAAAAATTCCAATGGCTCACTTCTCATGAAAGTATATCATAATGGTATTGTGTGGAAGGACAGTGAAAGCTTCATAACTGAACCATCCTGTTCAGAAAACGCATTCAAAGTCCTCGTTCTGAGCTAAAATTGTCGTGTTTTACATGGAAAATAAAATGAAATAGGCTAACATCCTACAAATAATTTCCGGCACAAAAGCGTTTCATGGATTTTTTCTGCTTAAGTGACTTTTGATAACTGTAATCCTAATTACATCTCAACTGAACTGCAACAGCATTCTGATCATCTACACTTCAGCTTACGAAAATGATAGCAACTAGGGGTTCTGTTGGATAAATGTAATACTCATGTTCCACAGATATTTATTCTGCCTCCTTCGCTCACTGCATATTTATAAGGTTTTGAAAACAAAGCGAGTAAAATTCAGTCACATAAATATTCTACAATAATATAAAAACCATTAATATATCAACTGGAGAAAAGATTACAGTTTTTTGTTCAGTCTAAATGCAAAGCTTAAGAAAGAGTAATAAACAAACCGGAGTGAGGAAATGTTTAACTAAATGTTACTCAGTCGTTTATTACAATTAGAAGATCTAGACAATTCTTCTAGTTTGATCAGAAACGAAAAAGTTAACTGATCTTCAAATTTCTCGACCTTTTGAAATTCAGACGCTTCCTTGTACCTAAAGAAAAATAAAAAATCAAGAATTTATTAGTCGTTTCGTATTGTTATATATATATCCTCATAAATACGAGTTAATTTCACTTATATTGTAGGTCCTTTGTATGCTTAATTTTATAAGGTCTACAAGTTGAATTTTCTGAATCTATCGGAATGGGGAATTATGTAAAATGCTCAGGTTACTTAGAATTCTAATCAACTTACAAGTACTTTACTCTTGTTTTATCATTTTTTCTTTTGCATAATACTATTCTAGTTCTTTCTTTTATAATAAAGGTTTATAATTCTTTTATATAATTTATCCAAATTTCGTGCTTAATTCATTTTTTATGGTCTCTTTGCATATTTAATAAAAAATTTGGTAAATTCATCATCCGTTTCATTCAATGATAATTAATGGTCATTTCAAGAGATTAAGAATCAAACTGTTGTGATAGATCGAACAGTTTTGGTATAAAAAGGGGATTGATAATCAAGGCGGGATTTTAGAATGAAATGAGTGTTAAGCATACTTCAGATCAGTCATTATGATGTGTTCACTGTCTTAGGTTGCTAGACTTCACGTTATAAGAAGTAGTCACCAGTGCATAAAAGTGTGAAGGGTAATTTAATCTTAAGTAACAACTTCGGAATTTTTATATATCAGTAGTCGGGAATGAAATCTCCCAAAAAAGTTGTGAAGGGTGCATATTTAGAAGTTGAGGGAAAGCAGACCCCACAGTCTGAAATTTCTTTAAATTACTTAATTTGTCATGTCTGTACATATATCGTAACTGGAGTTACATTAAACGAAAACGTTTGTCAGAATACTGTCGTAAAATTATTAAGTAAGGCAAGAAGAATTACTCGATAGCCCACAAAACTGGTTGAAGCGATGAAAAAACATAGAATCCCCAACATAGAAAGGCAAATTATATAAAATGTATTTATGATCACAAATTAATGATAACTTGGCATAAATAAAAGGGTGAAACAATAAAAATGATATTACTGACGAGTGTAGTTTTAAAAAAAAAGCAAATCAAAGGATGCGCTACTTTACAGAAACGGTAAATCTTGAATTTATCTCTTTCAAAAGCTTTATAGTGAACAAGTGACTAACCCTTAATACATTATAACAGTTTGCACTGAATGAAAATGATAACAAAGCTATATCACTAGAATTATTCATGTGACTAAGAGTAGTGAAACCTACCCAATTCTCTGCAGTAAATCAAGCAGAATATTCCTCAAAATAGTATGTGGAAAGTACTTGACTTTTATGGCATAATAATTCGCGAGAATAATTTCTTGGAAACAGAATAAATTTAGACGAGCTAGTAAAAAGCACTTGCATAAAACTTGTAACGCAAAATATCAGTGCTTGATCATCTTGATAATTTCGTTAAAAACGATTAGCTAAATCTATCATATCAAGGTGTGAAAAAATACTACTCTTAGACTAACCACACATTAAAACACAGCGTGATATGTGACCTCATCATAGACGTCAAAGTGCCTTTATCAAACATGCAGTACAGTGCAAGACATTCGGGCAAAAAGCTCAAAGCCTAATCTCATTAGGAATAAAATTATCAAAACCAAAAATACTTAATGTGATATGAAACCATAGGAAACTTTCTTATCGAACCATTAGTTTTCTATAATTTTTTTCTGAAGTAATAATAATTTACCTGATTCATTCCGTTCAGTATTCGAATATTTTGTCGTACACCTATGGAGATTTATATATATATATATATATATATATATAAACCACTCTCCCATTTAACTGAATTTGTCAGTTTGAAATCATGAAAGAAAATGATAATAGTTCACACAACTTTTCTTGCTTTAGAAATATGGATTTAATAACAAATTTCCTGTATCATCAAAGTTGTAAGAATACTGTGAGGGAGTTGAAATACTTACTTTTTTAGTATTGAAGAGAATAATGTGAAGAAATAATTAAAATTCGACTAATACATTTTACTGAGATGTTTCTGATACTATAATGCATTACTTTAGATTCATTAAGCATTAGATTATAAAAACTAGATAATAATAAATAAAAATGTTCCGCCATTATTCCCCCATCCACCAAATAAATATGCAAACACGTGTAATTTCAAACAAAAGTAATGATAAAAAGTTAAAAGCAAGTGAAATTGATCGAAAAATATGTGACAATAACAGAAATAGTTTAATTTTTAAATAAAACGAAAATAATCTTTATCTTTTTTTTCATAAAACCAATTGTGCGTAAATAGTTAACTCACAACTCATTAACTTCGATCAGTTAGCCTGTCTCTCAAGCCTACATATATACAATGTAAATGTTATTGTTTTAATCTATAAGCTGAAGGTGATCAAAAGATAAAAAAAATTGACGTCTGCACTTTGTTTGAGTAATAATAATAAAACAATTTGTCAAAAACCAATAATAATTTGAAGCAGATCAAGGTTTATGTAGTTCAGAGTGAAATGCCGACGTTTTCAAAATTAAAAATAAACAAATTAAATACGACATGAGAAAGCGTTAAGGTTATTCAGACATAATTGTTTTTTTTTAACGAATCTGACATCCTTGATTTATTTCGTTGGTAAACAAAACAACATAATAAATAATTTTTTAATACGAATTTGTGAACTTCAATCAATTTAGACATTATTAAAGAAATTAATAAATATATTTCATTTGCCAACATAATAAGCAATTATGTTTCAATACGTTATAAAGTTGTGACCTGATAACGTGAGCTAAGCAAATCATTAAACTGAGCTAGAAAACCTCAATGGGGGCTTGATTAACAGGAAATCAAGAAATAGCTAGAACAGAAATTAAAATTATTATATACATGTGATATATATATATATATATATATATATTACTTACCAGGAGAAGTAGATGGTCTTACTGGCGAACATGAACGTGAAGATATTTGACTACGGTAGCGATCTAATCCCCTTCGACTACCTGAAGACTAAAGTGAAATTTAGCAATGACAATAAGGCAGAAACAAAAAATAGTTTCTAAAATGTATTTACTGCATTTGACAGAACGAATTAATTAATGTAACTAAATAATATCTACCATTCATTAAAAAATTTAATTCTTTGATCATATTTTAAATGAAGACAAAAAAACAATCTAGCTATCTGTCTACTTTACTTGATTATATCAAGTAAAAATAAAGAGTGAAACAAATGTCTGTTCTTAAAAACTCATGAACGATTCACTGATATCAAATCTGTATAATCACAATGTTATTATTACTAATAGAAGCTTGCTCAAACATTTTGGTCATCCGTTTTTCAAATGTACCTACTAACCTTACAATAAACCTTCCTTCTTTAGATTTGTTCCAGTAGAATTGTTATGAAGCTCCACTATGTTAACTTAAGTGGTGTTATGAGACATTTACATCTTATCATGATGCTTAATACTGTAAATCTCAGACGGAAACAATGCATTTGTTGACATATTCCTTATCTTTGTCTACTATTTAATAAAAAGCAAGAGATGGAGGTTTTGTTGAATGGAGAAATTAATTATGGTAAATGAACTCGTAGTAAAATTTCACTATGGAACATGAATGAAAGACAGTGACCATTGGAAAAATATTTATAGAAATAAGATCGTTGAATATTCACTGTTTCAATGTTCGTTACAGAATAATTTATTGCAATATTATACAAATTATTCTGATTATTCTTTAGTATTACAAAATTTATAGTAATAAATTATTATAATTATTGTTACCAAGTTTTTGAATGAGTTTTCAATTTTAAAAATACTGTGAACATAACTTATGAATTGTTTTAATTATTATAATTTTCATATTCCGATTTATGACAATGCAATGTGTTTACTAAACAGTTTTCTATTTTGTATGAACAAATACTAGATCTTTACAATCTAATGAACTAGTGCTTGTTATTTGACTTAGTAGATAGTTGTGTTGATATTTCTTGAAGATTAGTTCAAATATTCGTTGGGAGTTCATTAGATCCCGTTGTCACACTTTAATATAATATGTTATGCATAAAGAACAATGAATTAAGAAATATATATGTTAACAATAATCGAATACAGAGAAAGAGAATGGTTGAAAATTGTTTCTTATCAAAAATCGAACAAATAGGTTTGCGTAATGGTACGAGTTTTGAGGCTATCCAGCTAAGGGTCTCCAATCACTGATTTCTTACATCACCAAGATTCTGAGAAACCTTAGATCTGACAAATCCTTGAATTAAATAGATACTCTGTTAATTTAAGATGCTGGGTGAGTTGATGCAGGACTACGAGTTAAATAGTTTTATTATTTTGAGTATAATAGTGATAGAAATAACATCGTGTTACCAGTAATATTTAATCACATTGATCACTGATTAGTATACAAGGTTTTTTCATCAAATTTTGGAGATCGTGACAAAATAAACGTATAATCTAATAAAGCTATTGTAATAAACAATCTATTTGGCTGTTTGTGAAATTTATAAACTTAAATATAAGCTAATCAGAATTTCCTTTAATTCTCTACATGAAGCGAGTAGCACCTATTTTATAATGCATTATAACTGGAATATCACTGTTGAACAGAAATAATTACGTTTTCATTGGAAAGCCGATTCTAACTGCTAAGGAGTCTTATCACCAGGATGAGACTGTTGGTCACAGCTTTCTGTTACTCAATAGTCGTCCAACTGATCATACCACGAAAGATACTGTTGATAAAAATATGCTGGAAATTTAACGAATTCATGACATGAACTTAGACAAAACACTTTCTTAACATTTTTAGTCAGTGAGTGGTTAAAATTCAGAACACCCAAGTTTGAAAATATTGCTATTCACTTAGGTTTTATCTTTTCTCAGCAATGAAAATATTTCTTTGTTTACCTAATATTATGATGGTGCATTCAAGGCCTAATGTTCATAGTTACCTTTTTATTCCATTTGATTCACTAACTGATTAATAAAATCATAGTTCCTTTTTTTCGAACTTTAGCTTTTAACCTTTTAACTTTTAAAGGACAGCCATTAAAATAAATTTAGACTTTTCGAGTAAACTTAATGTTACGAATAAAGCCTATAATTCAAATTTAGTTAGTCAATCTGTTCAAAATGAGTCTTTGATGCCGCTTTACATAATCCTCTGATTGAGATCGATAGAAAATATGTTACCTCAATTGTTCGTCAAACCTACTTCACAATAATAGACGATTTATATCTTATTTAAATGTATATTAATTAAAAAAAGTAAATTACCATAATTTCGAAACCGTATGAATTTAAATTTCCTCTGGTACACACTTCTCCTTTAGAAACAATACGCTCGTTTTGCATTAAACACGGCCATATATAGTGATGAATTAGTGATGCTGGATAAAATGAATCATGACTACGTCTATATCTATATTGAACACAAGGGAATGAACAGAAGTGGTAGTTAATTTGATAAAATGCTTGTCAGTCTGTCCTGACAAATAAAACATATCTTAAAAACTCAGATGTCAGTAAGCAGTGTGTTAACTTCAGTGATTTATAAAATAAGAATGACTGGATAAACGACAATTTTAGGGACTACATAAAATCTCGAGGAACTTCATAGTGTAGTGAAAGGCAACCGAATTGTATTTATTTCAAATTACAGAGTTAATTTGCAAAATATCAATCCATCATATCGAACTGGACTGTTCCGGTTGCAAACATCAATCCATTGTCTGAAATTTCACTATTCGTGCGTTTCATGCAAATCCCTTTGTGTTCCCGCTCTTCCTTTCTTGATCTTCCCCCATCTTCTGCTGCCAGACATAACGTCTTCACTCGCGTCATATACTACTTATAAGTAACGCGCACCACAATAATTTGTCTAATGGGTATTTGTAAGCTCACTGCATAACTCAGTGTGTGTTAACAAATGACAGTCTAGTATTAAAAAGAACAAACTGTTTCAAATCACTCTATTTGTTGAAGTTTAGGCTTAATAATAAAACCCGTGGATTTCCATCTGATCTTATATTGTCCCACTTAACTTTTAAGACTATTAATTAATTAACAAAGCTTCTTACTGACATGATTGCTATTGGTTGCTGAAGTTAACATTATTCCTAACCGCGTTTGTTCAATATATCTCACTTGGCAGGTTACCCTTAATGCTCATTTAATATTTGATTTTATTGGTTGGTTCACTTATTTAAGTAAAATATCTACCTACTCGTTTAAAAACTTCTACTTAATAACAATGATTAAAAGTAACGGCAAATTTAAAAGCATAATAAGCTATTTCATATCTGAATAAAAGATCCAAACATAGTTCAAATAGCTTAAACCACTTTTTACGTTCTTCTTTTTAAATATAACCGTTAAATACTGATAATAAAATTAATGATATCTAAGTGCAAAAATAGTCTAACAATAACTGCAATTAAATGAAACTCGAGTTGTGGCTAGTTGCAAATTGTCGAAATTTGAACTAATAATCTACTACGTGACTTGATTGTATGATAGTTTTCACTAAATCCCATGTTTCTTAAGGAATCATTGGGCCATCGAAAGACAACCATATATTTTTTAATAATCAGAATAGCTAACCAGTTCAGTCTTTGGTTAATGAACTAAACTAATCCTAGTGAAATAAAGAAATGGTTAATTACATATCATCATCTAAGAGAGTCTTATTTCGAAATTATATGTAGTAATTTTTAAGTCCCGTTCATTTTTATTGAAATCACTTACTTCGCTTCATCAATCAATTCATTTTCACAATTCGGTCTACAAATTTCAAGTGGATTGCACAAAGCAGCACATTCCCAGGCAAGCTTACATGTTTCATAAAGAAAATCTTTAATTACTTCAAAACCAAGATTTTGTGAAGGTCGACATATACGTGGTACACGACGTTCCAAGGCTAAACATACATCTTTAACAAGTAATGATATGTCTGCTGAATGACTAGCATGAATATTAATGTACGATTGGACTAATTCATCTAGTGTTTCTGTTGTGATTACATTATTCGCTGCAATTTGTTTACGTACACGATTTTTATACGTTCGAAAATGTGATTTGGCAACATGAAATGAATCCTGGAATAAAGAGATAAAAAATAGTATGTAGGTTTATGAATATAAAGAGTCCTAAAAAAATGATAATAATGTATTCAATGTAACTTCGGGAATAGATTCTAATGACGGAAAGTAACGGATGTAAAAAATCAAGCTATATGACTTCGTATACCAGAGTTAAACTATTTGTGATTTCAGTGAACGATTACAACAATAAAATTTTAAAAAATTTAGTTTATGTAAACAGAATCAGTGAATCCAGAATTCATATCAGATAGTATTTTCAAACACAATGTGTAATCAATCACGTGAAATATTTTAAAATGTGATAACAAAATATGAGGATATTAAGTTCACAGATCACTGAATCTTGAGATTTTACAGGAGTAAGTATCCTTTTTTGATTTTTTTTTCTCTCGGATTCTTTACTTTTGGATAAATATGATTAATCAAAATACAACACTTTTTCTAAACCAATATTTGATTCCAGATACTGAATGGTTGTGATCATATCTTATGGAATATACACAGTTTCTAAAATGAATTATATTTAAAAATATTGGCTAATCCAACTTTGTATACATAGTGATAACATGACTTGATTAGCTGAGCCTTCATTTCCTTGACCTTCCTCTTTTCTGTTGGTCTTGAAGATTCCAGGTAAGGGCTTGTCTTGTGACGCAGTTAGGTGCTTTCCACAGTGTGACCTATCCACTTCCACCGCTTCTTCTTTCCTCCTCCACTGGAATCTGGTTTGTTCTCTCCCACATTAGGTTGTTGCTGATAGTGTCTGGCCAGCGAATCCGAAGTATTTTGCGCAGACAACTATTTGTAAACAAACTTCAGATAGACGTTTGTGCTGATGATGCTGTTTAAAAGAACGATGAAAGCTCCACAACAAAAACATTCAGCTCATAGAACGAAACACTATCACAATTATCCACCTGAGCTACAAATTTTCTCCATCATCTCATTAATAAAGACTTTTATCTTCTGGATAAAGGCTTTAGTAATGTTCCAAGTTCCCACTCTATACAGTAGAACTGTCTTGTCATTCGATTGAGTTCTACATAGAAGAGCCAGATCATCTGTGAAGTCCCAATTTTCCAGCTGCATCCTAGATGTCCATTGGATACCGTGCTTCCCTTCAGATGTTGATGTCTTCATAATCCAGTCGATCACCAGGAGAAAGAGAAAAGGTCAGAGTAAGCAACCTTGCCTGACACCAGTCTTCGTCTCGAACGTGACCATCAGCTGTCCTCCATGCACTGTTTTGCGGTTTAATCCATCATAAGAATTCCGTATGTTGTTGACTATCTTCTGGGGCACGCCGCAGTGTCGAAGAAGCTTCCATAGTGTTGTCCTGCCCGCGCTATTAAGAGCTGTCTCATAATCAATGAAGTTGATGCAGAGTCGTGAATTGCATTCAGCTGACTGCTCCACAATGATCGGCAATGCTACAACTTGGTCAGTACACCATCAATCCTTACCTTAGTCGACTCTGATACCCCACTTCACTTGCTTGTTTGCTTCTGTGTATTCAGCCTGTGCCTTGGCTTTCTATGCTCTCGTTTGGCTGATGTTGATTGCTGCCTTTTTGCTCCTCCCTTCTTGAATCTTATCCAGAGAACCAACAGAAATCAATTCATTGTGATGGTACTTCTTGTGGACCATAACATCCTGACATGTTGAAGTGATTGCTTCCTTTATCCATTTACAATGGTTCCCATGGTAGTTTCTTTTCCATTGTGTAGTTCGTGAAAAGATTGTAACCTATTGCTGAGGGTGATCCGTAATTAGTTGAGTTTGTTAGTTAATCGAAGAAAGGCCGGGTTGAACTTTTATGGTGTTGTCGGCCCCGCTGTCCAGTGCTTCTTGAATTTCAGTTTCATTTTGGTGACCCGCAAGTGATGAGCTGCTTCTCACATCCTCCATGGTCATTCTGAACTTTTTATTGATACAGATATGGTTGACTTGGTTCTGAGTATTGTGATCCAGTGAATTCAGTGTAGCTTTGTGTATGTGTTTATGTGGAAATATTGTGCCGCCCATGACTGGTTTGTTAAAAGCACATAGGTTTGCAAATCTCTCATCATTTTTGTTTTTTCCTCCCGGTCAATGTCATCCCATGATGTCTTCATATCCAGTGTTGTCCATGCCAACCTTAGTATTTAGGTCTCTCATCAGAATGCCGAAATCCTTTGATAGGGATTTTTCGACGATTGTCTGCAGCGTCTCGTAGAATTGATCTTTAACGTCGTAATTGCAATCGAAGATAGGTGCTTGGTATTGGATGACGTTCACTGTATTGTCTTCTTTCTTTGTTTGGTAGGATGCTTCGATGATTCTGGGTCCATAAGATTCCCGTTCTATTAGTGCCTTTTGTGCTTGTTTGAAAAGCATCAGTGATTATGATATTACCAAAGTATCAATAAATCAGATGGTATCAATAAGCATATCGTTTTTTTATAATTAATTGTGCAGAAGAGTTAAATTGAAGGAGTAGAAATAAATTTTTTTCTCTTTTTCACTTGTCTTGTTTGTGTTTTGAGACTATCATGCCGTGTTAATATTATTTTCGATATAAAAAAGTATTATTTCTCAATGAATGCACTTTTAAAATACTCATGAAAATTAAGGTTTCAAACACTACCTCATTTTTGGTCAACTTAAGCTACGATTCAACCTCAAACAATTCGTTTAGCTAACACTACATGATGTACATTAGTAACTAACTACCAACCTATATAGCTGTTCTGATTTTCTAATAACATTTTTAAATGATTGTTGTGTTATCTAGCTGAAACTTAATAAGTTCCAAATTGCTCTAATTATTACCCATTTAACACTTGATATCGCTAGATAAACAATGATATTTTGCTATATTGAAAAATGACAATCTGAAAACATTACACAGCTTCTTAGAAGAATTGTAAGATGATAAAAGAATACAATTTCAGTTTATCTTAGCATTTTCCCAGCTTGATATACTACAAAGAATAGAAACTGCGAAGAAATAAAAGCCTAATGTGTTTTATAACTCTACTTGCAAGAGATTTTAAATCTATAATTATACATGCGAAAAAGAACTTTTCAAACATTTAATTAAGATTTATAACAGCGTATGAATGTGTATTCACTTTTAAACATTTTAGATGAATATTATGTACAACTAAACATGTATTTCCCCATAGTTCTTTAGGTATCAGCTTTATAAAAAATAACCTCGTCGAAATGTATTCTTATAAGAGGTATCACTTTTGCTTGTAAATCGATAAGTTCTCGTTTACAAGTGACCAAGAGATAATAATTACATTTAGTAACTATCATTAAGAACGTAAATGTTGTATGAATCAGACGTAGTATTGTGATGTGTGCTACTTATACGAACGATATAAGTAGTATAAGAAGGGACGTGAAAGAAGTCTCACGGTCAGAAGAGGAAAACGGAAAGCAAATGGAGCAAAAGCGAGAAGTAAATGGAGTTCCAACAGGGAGGAAAGGAAGCAACAACAGGAATAGAAGAAGAATGAAGCGTTGGAAGTCAAGACTCAAAGATGGTGTGCAAATAGAGTGTTCAATGTAATGTTTTCGTTTTTAATTGACCAAGAGTGTAAATTAGCATGTAACAATCTTCCGCGCCTGCCTCAGTCTTCTCAGTGTTAGTAGGAGTGAATTTCAGGATGAAATGGATCTGTACCAACAATTCTTACTAGCTTGGTTGTGAAACAACCTGTCCAAATTGATCACTTTTGAATATCAGTCATATTTATTGACGTACTTTACTAATCCTTAACAAATTTTATTAATGACAACATATTTTATAGTATTTGCTGAGTTGTTTCAACCGAATTCCTTCTAAAAACAACACTTAAATTATGTAAAACAGATAGCTATTAGAATTCCGAAGGTAAAGTTGGTGTATTTTCAAAACTAATCAGGTTCTAAAATATGACACTCGAATAGTTTCGTATTTTAGCGTTAGACTAATTTATGGCACCAGAATATTAAATGAGGTACTAAACGTATCACTTTCAAATCATTTTAAATAATCATGGTATTGACTCTGTTCGTAACAAGTGATTATATCATCAATAAAATGCAACCTATCCATCCAAATCAAAAACTTTATAATCCTTTCTGCCTAATAGCCATCGGTTTTTCAGATGGTTCGCAAAAGCTCGATGTAGTCTTTTAAATTACCTTGATTTCTGCTTTTTAGTTAATATATATTTTATCATTATTTCATTTTGTTTTATGTATTTGAGTAATTTGTTTGATTGAAACCAGCTTTCAAGAGTATTCTTCGAAAGTTTATGAATTAGAGAATTATGCAAAACTTACTGATTTTCAGTGATTCCTCTGTTGATGTCAGTTTAGAGTGAAAGTAATCTTTAGATTAGACTGCTGTTTACAAACCACTCATTGAAGTTGCTTAGTTCCAAAAAACACGTTTCCAAAATACTTTTTCCTAATTAAACTGTCGAGTAAAACATACTACAAACATATTTCAGATAATATCTCATATTTTGCGGAATACATTTTCAAATATATTAATTACTGATTTATGCTCAATATGATGGAAGTTTTCATAGCTAGTTAATAATATTCACTTATTTGTGTTGTTATTTGATGTTGTTGCAAGAATTGTCATAGATGGGAAATCCATTTCTTGTATGAAGAACCACTTCATTTCTTAGCTTCTAACATGTACACAATCTCTTCATATGTAACAGTTTATCCTCTGACATAAAGTTTACCTACTTGAATGGCTAAAGAATTCACAAATTTTCTTAGAATCGTGGATAATCATTTTAGATGGTGTTCAGTGATTAGCATCGATAAATTAATCATGGCGAATAAATAAAGTACGATGTAAAACAGAAGTTAGTACCCATAAAATCCAGGTTAAATGATTTTTTCCAAGTCTTGAAAATCTTTGTGTTTATTTTACCCTCACATTTGGAGTTTTATTTCACTCATTTACTTGATAAATTTGTCCCCGTTTTGAAAACCCTGTGCTTCAACAATGTCAATAAAGTCACAATTAGTCTTTCAAACCATTTTCGGAAGAGCCTGATGAACCAGAACTTGGACTTATAGTAAACAAATATCTACTCATTTTAATTGACTTTTGCTAATCAGTAATCACTTCAGGTAAACTTGTAAAAAAATAACTTTTTTCTTTAAAACTAAGGCAGATAACAAAAGTCAAGCTGTTTGGAAATTCGCCGAACTGTAGAACATGGAGTAAATAATTAACTGTGAATAAATGATTCACAAACTAACCAGAACAGCATAGAATATGATTTTCTGATTTGCTTCATAATCATCTATGTAACGCCTTAAAATCCCCATTGCTTCAACTCGATGCAGTGAGAATAATTCATTAAAACGCATCACCAAGATATGCTGTCTATATCGTTGGATCGGATCATTGGGACTTAATGGGCTAACTCCAGTGAGCCCAGAAGGTGTTAAATCTGAGGGAGCTGACAATGACAACGGTTCAAGATTTGTTTCTCCATACCTTTACCAAAACAGAAAAGAAGTAATAATTAGTGAATAGTATACCGTATGAAGAAAAGTTAGATGAAAATGTGCCCAAAATATGACAAAATATAATTGCTTAGTAGATAGTCAAATTAAGTTTCGATTGTTTTCATAAAAAATCCGGTCATCTGGTATCATACATGCAGGTGATTAAAACTTAAAATAAAAATCTTTCATGATTATAAAACGGCTGCACTCAGAACGTTAGGCTTTCCGATTATCTTCCAATAACCTCCTTTGAGTTTTCATTATGAAAGTAGCTCGAAGTTGTTTTCACACTGCAGCGATAAAGCTACAGGACAGCTGGAAAACTGCGGTTGAAAAGTGAGTACCTGGAGTAAATTCATATATCTCACCATTATTATATTTGCGTCTGTATCAATATTACGTACGTTAACGAAGTTACTACTACTAATTTTTAGCGTAAGATTTATGTGGGAAAGACAAATTAATTAGTGGAATTATAACTTTTCGTGAACTAAAATCTTTAGACTGTTGCTGGGTATTTTCTCTTGATAAAGGTGAGACCTAAAAAGGGTTTAAGTCAGGTAATTGAATCTTCGATTTGTTTGTCTCCTGAAAGCTTTTAACTTCTTGTCCTAATTTTTAGAGTTAGAGAACATAAAGAGGCCAGTAATTTCGATCTAAGTGGCTCAAAATAAGCGCTAAATCAATAACATGAGAATTTAAAACACTTAACTATCTCAAAGTTGGTTTAAGTCAGATTGTTTCGTTTTTATTTATTCGCTTCTCTTGATAATACCTTTAAATGATAAGTTTTGAGATATGTAAGCTTAAAGTGATATGCTGTTGTGTAAGCTTCTTTTATCTTAGTTAGTCACTTGTAGTTTTATCCTCTGTTTTACAAACTAATCAAAGATGATCATATACAGTAGTGTAACACATTTCCATGCCATCATCCTATTAAACTTCAGGCATTTTACCTCCTTCATATATTGAAATACTGATATCTAAATTGAACTGTCATGACTATGTCAATCAGGTAGAAATCTAGATTTACTCTGAAGTTAACCATTTGACCCAGTTTTAATCTGCAGCCGGTCTTAAGAGAAATCTAGTTATATGTTTATCAAAGGTGTATGACTGAGTCTTTCTTGTAGTTAACAGAGCATAAATTGCTGCAGTTTATGAAACAAACACCAACAAAGTTATATTTTCATCAGCGTTTGGTAAGCTTTGTAACTGTGTGGCATCTAAAATACTGGGTATAAATTAATGCTAAATTTTTTATTTCAAAATCCGTAAGAAAAGACGGTTATCCTTAAATGAGAATATGGAATCAACGCTTTGCTAGCGACAAATTTGAATTACCTTTTACTATCATAGATTATAATCGACATGCATCTATTGTTAAAAGGCAAACAATAGACCATCATTATTCAATCAAAAGTCAAATGATGGTACAATTTTAAATCAGACGTCATGAATAAGGTAGGTAAAAAACTTTTTATTTTATGATAATTTGTCAAAAATGTGTGTAAACATAGTCAAATATCATTTTGCCATACGAAATCAGCCTATTCGCACATAACTTGACAACACACTTTAACAGAAAGTAATTTCAAGTCGTTGTAACTCTACTCTAATCAAGGAAAGCTAATACACTTCCTGAACGATTATCTACTTGGATAGTTGTACCTCCTTATATAGTAACATGGCTTTCACACCGAGCTTTCAGTATAAATAATCCTGAAATAAAAACTATTACTGCTGTGATCAGATTTCATTATCAATGAATTTCTATTGGATAACATACTGCTAAATCATTAAGCTGATATCAGTCTTCTTTTTAATGCCTACTTAAATTGAATCGATTGCATTCGCACGATGATTTGTATTCATAAAAACAATTTGCAATACTCACATTTTTGATAAATTTGGAATATTTTTCAGGGATCCAGAATTATTCTTACTAAAATCGTATTCATTCTTAACAGGACAATACATATGGGTTTTGAGACGTTCATTTTCACCTTCTAATGAAAGTATTCTAATAGATCAACGAAATAAAGATTTAAAAGGTTTAGGTTTCAGAAAGCATAATAATTATGAATAATGCACATCTTTCTATTTAATTTTAAACAGATTGGTTTTACTGAGTTAATATAAGGATACAAAAAATCAGTGGCAGGTTCAATTTTGTTCTAAAACCATAAATTGTTCAAAGGATGCTTATTAATTAAATGTGCTTCAATTTTTTATTAGCTTTCATACTTGACGAGAGATTTCTCATTCATTATCATATACTGGCTAGAAACATCCCCACCTATTAGCAGATGAAGCTCACTAATCTATGTGATATCAAGGTTACTTAGTAACAAATAGATATGATTACTGCTAAAGTTAGCTGTATAATATTAGCAACGCGTGACATATTCATCCAATGAGCTTCATCCAGAACATGAGTTCTTATTAGGAAACTGATGTATAAATCTTAGTACTTAAGCGAAGTTCGTAGACACCAACGAGTAAAACATACTTCACTTTCTATATTACAGTTGAAATGATGGCCAATGTTTCGATCTCTTAGTTTAAACATAAGTTTTGAAGGGGAGCATTTTAGTCAATCTGAAAACTCTATGAATTGTTCCACCTATACCTCTCAGCTTTTTGACAAAAAATATAGACAGATATAAGGCACTTTCCAAGAGTTCTGAAATGGACATTTATGTTTACTTCTATAGTCGTTTTGCTGACAGCGGCTATCCATGACTCATAGAGTCATTTTTGTAAACAAACCCTTGAAAAGAAATTAGTCGAGGTTCGTTCCAAAAAAGTTAGTATACAAATGCTTGCACACTGTTGTGTAGATTAGTATCTAACAAAAGACAATTTCAAGGAGATTTAAAGAGTAAAATTTTCAAATTTTAGGCTGCCATACTTAGGGCCTTTAGTTAAAGTTTCATTCTTTTAATTGACAATTTCTGTCTTTTTTACTTGTAATATTCTGGTTTCACTTATCTATTTGCAGCTGATACAAGGAAAGAAACGTAACAAATTTATTATCTTATTGAACATTTGTGGCTTAATATATTGCCCACAACTTACTGATTTCGCAGTCGAATGTTTTCTTTACGTGTTTCCGCTAAATCAAATTCATATTTATCTTGTCTGGGATATTTTGAGAGTTCTAATTCATGTGTCTTGGGTGAAAATAGATCAGGATTTGATACTTGTGTTCCAACGGTAAAATTGGAGAATGCAGTTCCAGATCCAAGAAGTGGCAAAAGTCGAAGTTTGATTGCATTCGCACCTCCATATGGTCCACCTTTAGGAAAAAGAGAGTTTCAAAAATAAGTTGGTTGGAATTGACGCCTGAATAAATCAAAGTATTTTCTTAAGCAAAACAAGCAGATTTAACTTATGTTTCAGAAAGTTAAATATATTTGGAGTGTTTCTGGTAAGTATTAGTTTATCTATGCTGATATCTATTGATAAAAGTTAGTTCTCAATGCTACCTTTTTCTTTTTAAATATTCTAATTTCGTGACTTTCAAGATGCTAACGAACGTCACCGACTCTATATATTTCGTTGACAATATAACTCTGTGACTTTAAGGTTGTCAATTCTTTTTTATACATGCCTGTGCTCTATTCTTTTTTGGTGAATAACAAACACAAAAATATTAGGCTACGATAAGTTTGAAGCTTTTTTTATCGGGTGAGATTTTTGTATTAACAGTGAACTTTGTTACTTTATTCTAAACATAATACAGTGAGTTGTGCTCACGGAGTTCTCACTGACTTAGGCGCTAGTACAAAAGTGAATAATAAAGTGAAAATTAGACAGTTCTCAGAACTACGATTTAACATGACCTTGACCATTATTTATTAAAATTGTTTGCTGTTAGAACTTATTAAAAACCGCTTTTTAACATTTGCCAAGTAGTTCTTTACATCTTTTTAAATGCCATTGGTTAATATCAGAGAAACTGATGATAATGTAATTTTCCGTATCGGTATAAAAAGTTAGTGGCGGTAAGTTGTCTCCCGCCTGCTATCTATGTATTATGGGGAAATAGAAAGGGAGATTTGTTTCATCCCATGCTCTACCAGTCATCCAAAATGGAGTCAAACCAAGGGCCACTGAGATGGTGAGCTCTATTTCGAATTAAACGCAATAACAGGATTGATACTATCCTCACTGTTTCTTATAGGGAAGAATTTTCGGCAACAACAAAATATGCTACGAATCTTCCTTGACTTTGTAAAAACATCATTTAGTCAAGTATCCTTTACCGTTCTTGTAGACAAGCACGACTAATAAATTTGTTCTATCCATTGTTAGACATCATTTAAATAGTTTAAAGAGCGATTTTCTTGCCCACATTCCGACGATTAAGGATATTATAACAAAACTAAAAACAGAAAGTTAGCAAGTCTTTGCAAAGCAACAAAACGAATGGTTAGCAGTTTAGGAAATGTAATTCTGTTTCTCTTTACCATCGTGCTTGCTGAAGTATTGCAGTCATACTAAATAATAATTCATGTTATTATTAAATAAAAAATCTTGTCCTAATGTAACTGGAAACTATAACCAAAGCAATTTTTCTAACCGCATGGTGCCTCACTTCTACTATCTGCACTTTATTTCAGCGTTTTATGAACCATTACTCAACAAATTTATGGTTAAATCCCCTTGGGGAAAGGAAGTCATGTATATTTCATACCTTCGGAAGCACAGATGCTTAAAAGGCGAAAAAGCTGATTTTGAATCCTCGCATTGAGTTCAATAATCTCACAACCCATAGTCACGTTGTCGTCACATGTGTTTGTCTGAAATTTGTAATTTTTAAAACAACTCAGTAAACCTTATACGAGGATGCCCAACGCTCCAGATTTTCATGAAGGATCAGAAAAGCACCAGATTTCGCCAACTGATTTAAAGATTCTGACATTATTATATGACTGTTATATCTTCATTATTTATCAGAAGAGAAATATGCAGTAAATTAATTCACCATGATGCTGAATAGACGAAAACGATTTAGTGCCAAGTATTAATTTACTTAAAGCAAACTGGAGTTTAAATGAAACAACCAAAGAATTTTCAACCTAAATCTTTACAGTCGTTCAGATGAAACGAAGTGTGGAGTGAGTTAAAGACAAAAAACTCAATTTCTTCTTATGTGTCGCAAACAGTTTGAAAGTGAGTCGGTTTATGACATTAGCAATAACCTTGTCATTGTTTTAGCCAAAATCTATCCCGTTGCTAGAATGAATCGATTGATTCCTTCTTATTTCGGTACTGATTTAGGTATCCGGTAAAATCGAAAGGCTGGTAGTACAGCGACTAAAATGCACTGATTCTAGTCAGATGACAATTATGTATTAATTTGTATATCCTGTGCCTGGAGTGAAACCGTTCAATTCAAGGCCGTAGAATTTCCAGATACCAGCAGATATCTGATCAGCATATGGAAATCATTTGATTGCCGTGTGCAGAATGATAAATATAGAATGCTAATACTTGGGTGGAAATGAATGTTTCAGAAACTGGATAGATAACATGTTATAATTAATTGGTGGTGAAGATAATATGATAAGACAGAAATGTACATAAATAAGTGAAAGACAAATGATGAGCGAGATGTAACAAGTTGGTTTTCTCGCGAAGTGCTACTGATAACGACAAACAATTTTTGAGATATGCATTATGCGCTATTGGCTGGTGCGCGAAATGATAATCAGTATGTGAATACGTGTTTGTCGAATTCCGTCATGAAGAGAAACCATTTTGTCTAAATTTCCAAACATAATCCAAGAAAGTTAAGAAAAAATGGACAAATGTTTTTAAGCAACAAAATTTCCACCAACAGTGGTCATAACTTTCAAGTCCGCAAATCTCTTAAAGCAATCAGTGAACAAATAAATTCAGAGTTGTTACACGTTGTTGTGGCTTTTCTAATTGGAAAATAAAAACAGAACTTATTTATCCAGAAGGAAGGGGTTATCAGTTTTGTTTTGCCCTGAAAAGTCACCGATGTATGAAAGTATTCTCCCTAATATCTCCTCAGAGCTCGATCTAGATTTAATAACTACTGAAGGCGTTCACTCCAATTCGAAATATGTAGGGGACGCAGCCAAGGCAAATGCAACTCCTCACTTTATTCGAAGACAACTTGGTGCCATCATCCTACAATCATTCTAAGCCTAGTTATTATTGTCATATCCTCAGAACACAGACTTGATGTACCTCACTCAATATCTCTGTTTCATCTCCCTCGATTACATTTTGTCCTCTCGCACAATCTTCACTACCAATTAATAATGCTATGTTATCCATTAACATACTTGGTTCTGAAATCTTCTTGCTATTATCATTGGATTTATCTCCTTATCATTATCCACATTGCAACTAACTGTTCTCATGCCTGGCAATATGATAGCTTCTGGTATCCAGAGGATAAATCCTGAAGCAAACGTATTTATTCAAATAACGGGACGTCCGAACTCACAAACAACTGCCAACTGACCAGATTTAGTGCAGCCGGGTTCCTGGACTCCATCTATTGGACACTTCCCAACCCCTCTAACTGTACCGAAGGAACAAGAATCAAGCGCGAAGAAATCATTTGTTTTATACTGGTTCGTGAAAAGATATTGGTGTCCCCCATATATTCTTTGATACGTAAGACTGCCTTTTTTCTGCTTCCGTTATCTTCAATCAAAATTCGAAAATACCATGATTTTCACTTTTGAGTTTGAATCAACTATTCTTTATTATGCATTCTATTTTTTGTTTCGGGAATGTCCTTATTTCCATGATTTTCTATAACATTTATATCCTAAATTTATAAATTTCCAGACGTTTGAACAACCTAATTCGTACTTATTATGATCTAATATTGGCCTGTCTATTCATTCTAACTTGGGTTACTCCAAAAGTATCAAATATAAAGTATTTAGACTGGTTTTATTTAAAAGAATAATACTCTGATTTTAGGTTGTAAACAGCTGAGAAGAATCCACGAAGTGAATGAACTAGTATTATTCGGTCAAGATATTTGTTCTTTCTTTATTCAAGTTTATAAACGGAAAAAATTGCATGAAATTTAGATATGAGTGAACTTGATTACGCAACACTTTGGATTCATCAATAGGGAATATATGACTGACCTTATCACCATTTTTAAGTGTTTACGTTTGGAATCGCTTACCGTTTAAAATCTACTGAATAATAGAAGCAAAATCCGACTATCGAATTCATTTTGACCAGTTAGAAAAGTCTTTACGTAGCGTTGTAAGAAATCAGGAACGAGAGAGAAAATTGACTGGGACCTCATGAAAGTGCAGTCACTATGCCTTCAAACTCCATGAAATAAGATCATGTGAGATTAAAAAGTATTTGAGTGATTGATTGGTTTGCTTCCAACTTCGCTACGATGAGCCCCATTAGTGCCTAAATTTTTCTGAATACTTTCGCCATCCCATTATGCCTTCCGACGGCAATAGTTATAACTTGCCACCAAATTGATGATTTCCCTGCTGCAAATACATGGTACTAGCTACTGTCTAGTATTTTTATTTGATTTCAGCTGCTAACCGTACGCTGTCTACTTGGTACTTATAGTATTAAGTCTACGCCTTCATTAAACGTCATTCATTTCAAGAGTAACTCTGAGGTCCTTCCTCACTCCCAGAATCATTAAATGCACTTGCGAATTGAAATCGTTTTTGTTCAGAACATAAGAATGGAATGTTATCTGTCTTCACATGAGAAGTAAAGTGCGTTCATAAGTGCACTCGATAATTTCTTTGAAATTTGTGTCAATCACTCAATCAACAACGACCTAGAACTTCATACGTACCTACATCAGTTCAAGCTGTCATAAAACATTAGCACAGAGATGCAATCGTCGTTTCAAATCCCACAGTAGTAAATCTAGTAAAAGTATTAGCAGTAATCGGAGAGGTTAGGGTCCAAGGATATTATTCGAGAAGTAGAATCTAGTGAAATTAACCCTAAAAGGAAACAAAATAAAATGATAAGGAAATAGAAAGTTTAGGATTTGAGATAACACAAAGAGTGGATGTACCTGCACCACTGCAAACGATTTTGAGCCATGTCGTTCAAGATCTCTAACCATCGTTGTCTTTCGTCTCGCGGACCCCAACCACGTAGCCTACATTACTCAGTCCACTTATCAGTGACTTCATGGATTTCTGCTATGTTTTGGTTTGGCCGCCCCTAGCTTTCTTCCAACCTATTCCTACACTACAAAACAAAGCTTGTCGAGGCAGTTGGTGGTTAGGTATACGCAGCACATGTCCCAACCACCTCAAATGATGAAGTTTCACTGCACCTTTTGATCTGTCATTCTTAACTTGTACCCGTTTCCTAACAATAGCATTGCTCACTCGGTTGTCCCAGGATACACGGGCAATGGTTCTAAGAAATCTATAATCGAATACTAATAACCTACAAATGTCCTCTACTCTCACCGGCCATGTTTCGCATCTTGGGCTTGTCAAACTTTATGTTAGATGTAGCTGCGGAAGTCTATATTTAGTGACACATTATTAGCATGAGAATAATTAAATGGTTGTTTGGACCGCAAAAGAAATAAGTGGCTTTCAAGAGAGGCACTCAGAAATGAGATGTCAGTGCTTTCGGTACAGTGACGTACTAATCTCCTCTGATCATACTGCAATTCCGTTTGTCTGCAGCGGATACACTTACTTTGGCTGAATGGGAAAATAAGGAAAATTGTGTATATATTCATTCTCTCTGCACATGGTGACCGAGGAGAATTTAGTTAAGTACAAGCTATAGGAATAATACTGACTGAGTTCCCAAGAGCAATCGTCACATACTTCACTCACCGAAAACTCATTTGTTGGCAGATAGCTAAAATGTATGGTAAAACATACAAATTACTTTGACTATGCTCAACGAAACGATTTAGCAAAATGAAACTAATATATTATAGTGTGAATTGTTTGCATTGGAATTTGATGAATTAAACATAAATCCAGCAAGTTAGTAAAGTATCTTTTCAAATAAAATAGGTGCACAGCTAGAAAGAAAAATAGTTATTCCATAGTTTTAACCAGAAAGCTGTGCTTCAGATTACTTGGAGTTTACAACTTTTGTATCCAAAGTTACTACACAGACGGTGAAGTTCATCTTTTCGTTTATGGTCACACAAAATTTAGGTGAATTTTGCGACTATTTATTGCAATTTATTCAGTCAATTAAATATTAGTATGTGATAATGATAGTTCATGATGTATTTCATTACTTTTTACGCGTCTAAACAAACATCACTATGATAAATGTAAAATATGAAAACGATTAGTTAGCAGATTGCGTAAATTAAAAGAAACCCAGAAATTCATGCCAATTTGTATACCTAATCGACCGCAGGGACTCCAAATATGGAATGCCAACCAGGAGCGAATACGCTCAAGGACGCTAGGACAAAAGTAAAGCTGTGTAGCATGGTAAAACCACCTGCTTCCGTCGAGTAGATGGAATGCTGATATCAAAGGGATCTACGAAGCGCGTCTTATCCTATTTGGGACTTGTCAGCTGAATGTACCTGGACTCCATATTTTATGTTCACTCCAAAACTCGAACTGAGTATCAATAACTTGAAACTCTATACCATCCAGATAGCCATCTTACTTGTGCAACGGGTATGAGATTGAACTCGATTTCAAATGACCTGGATTATCCTGCTGTTAAAGTTATGACTCATATTTGATCAGTCTTTGTTGTCATACGCTGATTGCCTCAAGGTAACCATTATGACACAAGTTTACATAGAATGGTACATTCAGCTGCTTCCCACAGAACGGAACACGCGTCCTGGATTTCACTGTCGGCCACATTTTGCAAAAATTATTAACTTGGTTCAATCATGTAATAATACAAGTAGATCATGTGTTCCTAAAATATCCATCTCCAAATGATATGATCGCCCCACAAACTGTGGGCCTCATTCTGATAGTGATTCTAACTAATATATATATATATGATAATATTTAATAATAATAATATATATGTATAATAATAATATATAATATACCCCATTGTATTGAGAATTTTCTTTCCAATCCGTAGTTAGTCAAACGACTATTCGAATGATTTGTGAAATGCTGAGTCACTGTAAATAAATATTTATCCTGCAGTACTTTACTTCGTCAGACTCTTCTCTGACACTGAGCGTTTTGAATCATTCTGCACCAGATTCTACATTCATAAACTATTAATTACTTGAACGAGTTCAGAGGCGCTTTGTGCGAAACGTAACCTTGACGAATATAGTCCTACGATAGCTTCCGTTATTTAGTAAATTATCCATTAACATCTGCTAGTCAATGTGTTCAATCCGAGAAGACAAATAATTTTATCTAATTACCTAGTAGAAAAATTGGTATCGGTATTATCATACTATGTTTTGAAATTATTACAGTACCCGGAATTCATTTACTCAATCTTCTATTTATTAGCATTGCAGACCAAAATGATTGTACCTAGAAGTGATTTATTGATGTACATTACTGCATCGTAGAACAATAATTAAAAAAGAAACACTGAAACAGAAGAAATTACAAAGAATTATACATTCAAACAAAAGACATGGTTTGTCGATTAACATATTATTAAATGCATTAAACCAATGTGCTTGATCACAGAAATAATACAAACAACAAGAACGACAAATGCAAAAGGTGAAAACAAAAGGTGTGACGTAAAATCTAAACATAAAGGCTAAAATGATCAAATGTGCCATTCATGAAAAGTGAAATTTAGCTTTTTATAATTATTCTTTTTCTTCATAAAGCAAATAAGATGCTGTTGTTTTTTTTTGACCAAATTGATGCAGTTTATAAAGTATCATAATTTTATCTAATATACAAAGAAAACTAAAAACAATAATAATAATAATAAAGTCTATATATGTATAGGAAAATTAACACGCACAAAATAAGAAATATATTATCACATGTGGAAAGTTTGAACATATGAATAAATAATGAGAAAAAATAGTTGAAATAAATACAAAATATAAATGCAAAAAAAAGTCTGTATTTTTAGATACCAGGTAACATGAACGTATGCTAGAAAACGAGTTCATGAGTTCATTAAATTTTCTGCAGAATTAACAAAGAATTTTTCACGCCCAAATCTGTAAAAGATGAATGGTAATGTTAAGGATACAAATTCACAAAACAAAGGTATGTGTATATATCGATTTGAGTTGAAATCGAAGTTAGTTAAATGTTAGAGTGACAATTACCAAAAGCAATGAATAACTAAATGATTTCAGGCTAACGCTCAGTTCAGTCAAAGTTATTGTTAACTCCCTTATTGCCAGCAGTAGGTGTGGTTCACTAACTACTCAATATGTGAATGATGATGGAAAATTCAACAAACAAATGAATTTAATGCTGTATGATTGTGAATCGGCTGTTATGAACCAACATTAATACATTATTTAGAGAAAGGTAAGTGTAAAATGACTGATCAAAAACAGAAGCACACATTACAAGATAGGCGATGAAATACTGAGTACGCTGCTGAGTTTTTTTCTTACTTTTAGAATATCTCTTTATACATCACTTTGTAGAGTTGGTTGGCATTTTCGATTGCTACTAGTCTACTTTTTAAAGAATTTCTTTAGAATAAAAAGCTCAAAAAGGTACACTAAGCAGCTATTTATAATAAAAGATCCAAACTTAGGGAATGTGGTTGGGAAATCTGAAGTATTCTGTTCTTCAACCTACGGATGGCTACTAATGCATTTTAGAACTGCACTTTCTAAGTTTTAAAGCACTGAATTCAGTACATTTTATATTGTCACTTTCGAAACAATATTTGTCTTCGATTTCCAATTTCATTTTATTTTTTAGCAGTTCATTATTAAACTAGATACGAAATTATTCTAACGGACAAACCATATATCCTGTATACATATTATTTTAACTCTATTTAACAATTACACCATAAAGTATCAATCTTATCATAATGGGATAAAACTAATAGTACTAAGTAATAGTTAAAGAAGTTAACCAACTGGCTTGTTTAATACATAATATTGTTGTTTTTCTTACTCTCAATAATATATTATAATTAGTAACTGACAAACATATAGTTAATATTTATAAGCCTAAAAAAGACTCCCTAGTTTGAGTATTACAATGTCCGGGAATAATTACACTTAGGCAATGTTGTTTATTAGTATTTCCGAATTACTAAAAGACTCTTGAATATTTACAAAATAACAGACAATATCTATGAAGTACTCCACGAAAAGAATGTATACCCGAATTGTTATCATCATTGCTTTGACTGTGATAGATTTAAAATGTCTATTCATATTCAACCAGTTGCATTTCGGTAACATCCAATGTCAACATTTAATCAAGAATCACGATATTAGGTTATTCTGAGTCATGATTGTAGGTGAAAGAATTCCTAGTCGGGGTTCGTGCAATGATCATATTCTTTGGTCAATTATATAAAGTTAGAGAAATCTTAGTTGGTGAGTTGTGGTATTTTCCATTCCAATATTAGAATCACTATTGAAATTACAGCACAATGAATCAATAAATCATCAATTGAAGATGAAATATATTAGTTATGAAGCAGCAACGTGAAAACCCATTTTTCGGCTATCTTAAACAACAGTATCCATATAAGGAAATTCAAAGGAACAGTAATTACCCGCAAAGTTGTGTCCCAACTCCCAGTGCATATTGCTGTCCCATCTGGACTGACACGTAAAGCGGAAATACGGTTTTCATGACAATAGAGAATATTTATACGCTGACCTTTAAGTACATCCCAGATGTTCACAGCATGATCACTATAACCACCAAACAGTAAGCGACCTAAATCGAAAAATAAAGATCAGAGTGATTGATTAGTTGCATAAGGTCACTGAAATAGTATTCAATTAAGGATGAATAGTACGTTATTCTTGAATTTGGAAAAATTCTCAAAGCTTATTTTTCAGTAATTAGCAAAACATTCCATTACTTATAGTGGTTACACTTATTTGGAAAGAACTGTTATGGGAGGATGCGTATACACGAACCCAACTCACAGAGTATTATCAATAAAGTAAAACCAAAGACTATAGCTCAAAATAGAACAGCTGAAAGCAAAAGACTACAAATGTTAAAACGAAAGTCTCAGGTAGACAAGAAATAAAGATAATTTTAACAAGAATTTGAATGACGAGACAAGATATCAGAAGCATAGATAACATATCGGATTTATCAATTTCATAATTAAAAAGTTAGTTAAAAGTTGCCTATCTGAATGCCTAATTGATTGTGCACTTTTTGTGTGTTCAGTAAAAGTACACAAAGTTTGATAGAGAACTTCTCAGATAATAGTGTTATTTAAGTATACAAAATCAATTACAGTCAATGTAGGAATTCTCACTAACATAGTCAACAAAGTGCATTGGTTTGTTTGACAATGTAGTCCAACCGTGTTCGGTGTGAGGGCCATAACCACTCACCGAGGACAATGCTAGATGGTCATGCAATATGGTCACTTGATTGAAGTTAGACACAAACACCGCCGGATGCCGGGCTTAGTGGTTCAGGGGGTTAACTTTCGCGGCCGATGTCCGATTTCTGTGTATAGGGGTCGTGGATGCGTACTTCTGATTCTCATAATAGGAAAACACGACCGCCAAGTTTCTCCAGGTTTTCAATAGTGGATTTATGATTACAATCAGATCCAACAATCTCCACAATTGCATATTAATAATAAAAATAGTTATAGGAGGCTAGAAATGGACAAATCTAGACATTTCGTTCTTTCTAAAACTCATATCATGAGGAATTGTATTTCTTGAGAATGATGACTGAGCAGTTCTAAACTACACCTCTTTTGTACTTCGAGTAAGAAAGTAACAACTTCTCACTTTTATCGGAGCATTTGACACTTACTGGTTTTGAAGCCAGCTAGGCAAATGTTCTATGACCCTTAATTGCTTTGTCAGAGTATATATGAGTTCACGCAAACATGTAAACTGATAAATACATTTGTCCATTCAAATCGCACAGTGATAGAGGTAGTAGAAGTAGTAACAGTAATCAATAAGATTAGGGTTCGAAGATATTATTCAAGTAGTATAAGCTAGTGAAATAAATTTGAGAAGAGAAACATGAAGGAGATTAGAAACTCAGATTAGAATTTGAGAGAAGCCAAGGAATGGATTCACCTGTGCCATAGGAAACGATGATGAGTCATGTTGTTCTAAGACTCTGACCATCAGATACTATTGTCTCGCAGACCCCAACCTGGTAGTCGACACTTATCAACATAACTCAATCCATTAGTCAGTGACTTCATGAACTTGTGTCATGCTTTGATTTGGCCGCCTCCAGGCTTTCTTCCAATATACTCCTACACCACAAAACAGCTCAACCAGGCAGTCGGTAGTTAGGTATACGCAACACATGTCCCAACTACCTCAACTGATGAAGTTTCCTTACTTCAGAAGCATTTATGGTCGAAAACCAGTAACCTACAAATATTTTCTACTCTTATTAGCCATGTTTCACAGCCACAAAGTAGAACGAAGCGAACTTCTGTGCAGTACACTGGATCTTTGATTAGCAGGCAGATATCTCGCCTACTCTATAAGTGACGCAAGTTGGCAAAAGCCAGTCAAGCCTTTAGTATCCGAGCTAAGAATTTGTCAAAAACCAGGCCATCAGCACTGACGAGACTCACGAGATAAATGGAACGGTCGACATGCTTAACTGCTTCGCTCCCTATCACTACTTCAAGTGCCGATTCAACCCAATCTTGAAGCAAACTTTTGCATTCCGACGTGAGAATCGCATCCCGAACATGCTTGCAATGTTACTTAGGGTAGTCAGAAGACCGCGTCTTCACCAAGTAGAACTGTGTCATCAGCATATTCTAAGTCAACGAGCGAATCTCCCTGAAAAGTCAGATGAAGATAACGTTATTTCCAAAGGCAAATTCATGACAAAATTATACAAGAATGAAGAAAAAGGACAGCCCTGATGGAGACCACTCGAAGTAACCAACTCTAATGACAGTTCGTCATAAGCTCTCACTCGACCAGTGGTGCTCGAGTAGAGAGGCTGTATAAAATTAACGCACTTCCCTGGTATACCTTTCGATGACAGATACTGACACAGAGCCTCACGATCCAGAGTCAAATGCCGCTTTAAGGTTAAGGGAGACAACGATTGTCTGATGTCTAAATGTGTGTCTGTGTTGCAGGACCTGTCGAAGTGTGAATATAGTCTATAAAGCCACGTCCAGATCGGAAACCAGCCTGGTTTCCTCTAGTCTGCTCTTCACATGCTCTAGTTAGGCGTCTAAGGATAATCGAGGCTAAATATTTATAAACTATATTAGTTAGACTGATTCCTCTGTGATTGTCACAAGTGCTTTCTCATAAATTGATACAATCAGTGATTGAGACCATTTAGATCGGATTATGTCCAGTCTACAAATTCTAGCTAAGATCTCAGTCAATCTAATTCTTAAAACTGTACCATCATACTTGAAAATCTCAGGACATTCTGCTATCCCTCACCTTGGATTTCTTATAGCTTTCCAACTTGATAAAGAGTCGGAGGATTTACAACGATTTGCCATTCAGGTTGGCTGAAGAACGTTGGCAACGGAAGTGTGACTAAAGACCAGTTGAACTGGTCCCTAAAGTGCTCTGTCCATCGATCCAATCTCCTAGATTGAGAATAAATAATAAGCCCACCGTTTTCTGAGATGGTCTCACTTAAAGTTGGATTCCTGATACCCGTTTCCTTTATAAGCCTGAACAGTTGTCTATTGTTGCCTATCGCCACTACCTTTTCCATCTCTCTTGCTTATGTTACCCATTACTGTCCGCGATCATTATATAGGAATTTCATTCCGCTTGCGCTTAAGCTGACTCCGCTCTTTGTAATGTTCACAGCTAGGAGGGATGGGCTTCCGAGCATCTATCAGTTTAGTAGATGCTACTGAAATCCACCGCTTCTTTCTATCCTTATGGTTCACCTTACCAGCAGATATCATTGCTGTTTCCACAGCTTTTCGCATATCATTCCAGCCTCGCTGAAGGGATCTACTTACATGGCTGCCTAACTTTTTCCAGTTGTTCCTGAAATATATTCTTAGCTACCCTATCAATAAGTAGAACCCAAAGAGGTTCCCAAGATAAATGTTGTTATTGCATTAACTGAGAATGACAACGTTTATTACATTACATGAACAACTGTGTTAATTTAGGATTATCTACTCGTTAAGAAAGCTGTTCTCACCATACCAAGATAATAACCGAGTTTACTTTACTGCAGCTTCACCACACTGTCTCCAAAGGAATGAATATTTTTTGTAAATATCGGCTAGTAAAAAGGTAGTACGATGTGGAGTTTTCAGACCTTTTCTTGTCAATGTTCAGAAACATTAATTTGATTTCATTAACAGTAAAAGGTGTTTTAAGATAAATACCGGATAACATGATTGATGTCCTCGAAATATTTGCTCTTCGGGTAAGGTGAAGAATTTAAGTCTAACAGTTGATGTTTTAAACTGTTATATAATAATTTTAGTCTACAGTACACTTGCTTTATAAAGCAAACTGAATCAATGCACGATTGTGCCAGGATTTATGTTGATAATAACTGATCAACTTATCTTAACAATTTTAATTTATGTCAGGAGGCAGAGATAGATAAACCAGCAAGTTTGATGAGCAACATATATAAATTTATCTTACCTCTAGCTCCTTTCATTCGGCTACTACTTATGATAATATCAAGCTTTTAATTCCATTTTAATCAGAATATATTCAAAAAGATGGAAATATGCGGTGAAAGAAGCGGTAGAATTTAGAAATGAACCCAGTCTTTGGGTATTCAATTCTTACTAAGTGGTTAATTTCGAACTATCAGTGGTACTTCACGAGACAGCCACATAAAATTATAAGGATTAGAATTCTAGACTATAGTCGTTTGTGATAGGAAATTCACTTTTTACTACTAATTGGGGTTTTCTAAACAAATTTTACTATGTAAGTAATGTTTGGTGTAAATGTTAAGCCACTGGAATTTCAACATTTGAGCTGATCTGGTTTAAAAGTTAGTGATACCATACATTAAGTTAATGATAAACAATGACTTTTATGGTTAATGTTTGACGAGTATGATTTCAGACACCAAACATCAAATGTATGTAAAACTATGTGGTTCATGCAAGTCATTCTCTGTTACCAAGTAATAATAATATTTTCCGCATACAATTTTATGGAAAGCTTGACTCACCGCTTAGAGAAAAGTCAACTGCATTACAGGCGAAAATGACACTATCCTTCTTGTAAACACAAACTTCGCGGTCGGCGCGCAGATCAAATAATCTGATAGTTGCATCATCTGAGCCTGTAGCAAATGCATCACCACTGGGGAAAAACCTGACACTGTTGACATCGGAGTCATGAGCTTGGAATACCTGAACACAATGGCCCGTGCGCATATCCCAAACGTTGGCACACCTGTCACATCCCTAGAAAATTAAACACGAAAGGTTACAACCGCCTACCCCGGAAACAAAGGTTCTCCCAAATTCTGAGGGCGATAGTGCAATGCTCAACACATCCGCTGAATGACCATAGAAGCTTTGTATTATTTGTGCATATTCAACGTCCCATAACACGCATGTACTATCTCCACTCCCTGTAAGCAGTTGGTGATCAGATATGTTGAATAAACAACAAGATAAGTATGAAGTATGTGTTGCTACAAGCTTTTTTTTAGGAACTGGGTCCTCTTCGGAGAGAAGTGGATAAACGGTGCATTTATTGTCAAGACCGCTAAAGATAAGTATGAAAAACCGGTTAGGGCAACAACATCAACTAACCCACAGGCGATGAAACCTCCAGAAGGACTGTATGCACAGGACATTACCCAGGTGGTAGGCATTGATATAGAATATTCCTATAAATTTGAGTAAAGTATATGAATAGGACTGGTACTTTAGATGTAGTAAAGCCATCCCAAACCAGTATTTTTCCATCCTAGGCACTTTCAGACAAAACCAAATTCTTACCTGTGAAGAGCTTACTATGTGTCGTTTATCCAAAGACCACGACAGACTCAATACTTTGCCCTGGTGACCTTTAAGAACTCGTCGCAGTCGAATGTTTAAAGACGGCACTGCGTCTATGTGCTGACTGGCAGTGACAACTACAACAATCAAACTATCATATAACTAACGGTCTTCATCAGAAAGTTTGCTACGTTCGTCCTCGAGCTTTCTTTTCAAAGACTCAACTTCCTGAATCAGCTGTGCGTCACTTTGACCTTGATCAGCTGGTCCGCCCGCCATCAAATGTCGATTGGTGCCCAGAAGGAAAAAACAAATGTGATGTAAACAAGATAAGTTGTCAGCTTGATAATCCACATATTTTCCTGGTTGTTCATTGATAGCTTAGCATTCGCACCGCCCAAAGGTATATTGATGTGAAGCCACAGATCGGTGAAGGCAATGCTGTTAGTTTCGACAACAAGTTTTTTAGTAAATAATTTAGCTCACAATTCTTAGAGTATTTGTCACAGATATTTTTCGCTTGTTAGACATTACCTATCTAAATAAATGTAGTTCGTCTATCCTAGGAGGTCATAATGATAATACGTCACTACTAGGAACGCTTATATCTGGAACTGGTGCTTATGTCATGCGCATTATACATTAATTTGTCTGGTAATATTTATTTTTTGTTAGTTGAGTTTTTGTGGTTTGTATTGTGACGCAAAAACAAATACTGGCAATAACACTGAGGTATCTGTTGTTTGGACACACAATAACCTGGGAGCTATTATTAGAAAATAACTAGGAGAAACCAGCACACATCCATGTGATAGACACCGACGGTCTCAGGACATTTCAGTCAATAGGTAGAGTTTTCAGATGTGTCAATGCTAAAACCATTCAAAACATGCCCACAGTGTTCGTTCACCCTAAGCTAAACACACTTCATTTGTCAAATGGAAGGAACGGTGTTGAGTCATTCAAAGCTCTCTAGTTACTCACTGATATATTTGCAAATGACAGACGTTCTCTCTTCTGGTATTTCAAATTAGGTCATTTACGAAAACATTCCATAACATTCCACAGTCCTAGGACAGGTTGCTTCTCAGCCGGTTATTTCATCGAGTAATCAACAAATGGAACTTGATTCCTCAACAGGTGACCAGAGCTCCATTTGTTGTCATATTCAAACGAAAGATTCAGAGACAGCCGTCGTAAAAAAATGTGAATTAAAATTGATGCCTTGTACCACCTTTGTGTCCAGCTGACATTTTGCTAGCAGTCCTATATGAACTAGTAAATATCGTCAGTTATTATAGTAAACGGAAGGCGTTTTCGGTAAACAATGTGTTGAGTACAACTACACCTAGCAGAAAGTTCAATTCCATTGATTTATTTCAGTTTTGTGATGAGCGAGTCAAGATACCAGATTGACTGTGCTCACCACTAAATGCTCCATAATATCCCGCCGTCATTTAAAACCAAGATAAATCCATGACCCAAGGTTTTTTGGAAGGAGACAGTAGGCATTACATCGGGGACAGCAAATAGAGAAAAATGGCATCAGCGCGAAAAGAACGTTGCGCGCAATAAGTAGAAGAAGTGTTTTTGGTACAGTTAAACAAAACGAGTACAATAATGTTTATTTTTCACAAATCGTATTTTCTTCGTATAAGCGTTTCACTACAGTTTTTATATGTAAGTATAGATACAGATCCCACTTACTTCGTTTCAAGCATTATACTGCATCAAGGAACAGACGAAGCTTACTCCATATTTATTGTTGACGTGATGAGACTTAAAAATAATCGTAACAGCTTTTTCTCAAAAAACGGGTTACAAGAGGAATGCCAACTTGCAGACAGTATCGTAATGATAACAGCGCTAACATATTTTTGATAAAAAGTAGTTCAATCAGATAAATATCTCAAAAAATACGCTGGCTTTGGTGTGAGTTATGTCGGTCGCGTTGTGACGAACTACTGCAGGATGAGAACCAATGCAAGTTAAATCCAGGTCTTAATAAAATAATCAGTTATGAGGTAAATCTCTAACGATCTTCTTCTTCAGATTCACTGGATAATAATTTGACAGGCTCCTGGGTAAAGCTACTGCAGTTCTTCGGCGGCATCAAGGTTGATATTTAAGGCGTACGATGAGGTAATGTAGAAGAGAAATAAGGAGAAAGGGGTTAGAGGCAGAACGCAAAATATCCCTGTTTAAAGCCGTGTCATAACTCAGCAGATGATTATAAAGATTAGCTTGTAATAGGATGTCTAGCAGGAATTTAAACAATTTGATCGGAACGAACATGTGGTTGAACTGGAACTGTGCAGCTACGACAAAGAACATACCATTAGATTTGTTGAAAAACTAGAATACTTCACCCAAAATAACTAGTTTAGGTACCGATGAAACTCAATCTTGAAGCACTATTTCGAGGGGGGAAACCGCATACCGAACGTGCTTGCACTGTTGCTTAGGGTAGTCAGAAGACTCTAAAGTGTGTCGGAGCCTTCACCAAGTAGAAATATGTCACCGGCGTATTCATGGACAACAAACGATATTCCTGGTAGAAGGTCCACTCCTGTCAATTTAGGCGAAGTTAGTCTTATATCTCGCAGCATGTCTATGACGAAATTAAACAAGAATTCGGGAAACGGACATCCCTGTCGGACACCACTCGAAGTAATCAATGCCGATGAGAGTTCGTTATAAGCTCTCACTCGACCAGTGTAGAGCTTGTATAGGGTAAACGTGCTTCTTTGGTAAACCATTTATTGACAGACACTACCAAAGAATCTCACGATCCATAGATTCGAATGCCGACGCAAGATACAGAAACACACCATTGTCGGAAGCCTATATGTGTGTCTGTGTTGCAGGACCTGTCGAAGTGTGAATATAGTCTATAAAGCCACGTCCAGATCGGAAACCAGCCTGGTTTCCTCTAGTCTGCTCTTCGCATGCTCTAGTTAGGCGTCTAAGGATAATCGAGGCTAAATATTTATAAACTATATTAGTTAGACTGATTCCCCTGTGATTGTCACAAGTGCTTTCTCATAAATTGATACAATCAGTGATTGAGACCATTTAGATCGGATTATGTCCAGTCTACAAATTCTAGCTAAGATCTCGGTCAATCTAACACTTAAAACTGGACCACCATCCTTAAAAATCTGTCGAGACCCAATGCTCTCCATGAATTCATATTTCCAATAGCCTCTTCTACTTCATAAAGATTTGGAGGACTTATGTCGATTATCCATTCAGGATGACTGGAGGTTATCGAAGTGTGGCCGAAGGCCAGTTGAACTGATTCCTGAATTGTTCTGCACATCGATTTAATCTCCTGGAGTGAGAATAAATAATAAGCCCACCGTTTTCTGAGATGGTCTCACTTAAAGTTGGATTCCTGATACCCGTTTCCTTTATAAGCCTGAACAGTTATCTACTGTTGCCTATCGCCACTACCTTTTCCATATCTCTTGATTTCGCTACCCACCACTGTTCTCAATCGTTGCGAAGGCTTTTTATCAGCATGCGTCTGAGCTGACTCCGCACCTCATCGTACTCAGAGCCAGAAGGGATGAGCTTCCGAGCATCTATCAGTTTAGTAGATGCTACTGAAATCCACCGCTTCTTTCTATCCTTATGGTTCACCTTACTAGTGGATATCATAGCTGTTTTCATAGCTTTTTGCATATCATTCCAGCCTCGCTGAAGGGATCTACTTACATGGCTGCCTAACTTTTTCCAGTTGTTCCTGAAATATATTCTTAGCTACCCTATCAATAAGTAGAGCCCAGAGAGGTTTCCTTGCGATATTTTTCTCCAGTCTAAATAAATACGCGCTGGCAGTAGATCATGGTCTGAATCTAAACATTTATCGCGGAACAAATGACATTCCTATATCTAACCCCTCTATCGGTGGCTGATGACGATGTTATCTGTTTGGGTCGGCTTTGAGGGTTGCCAGGTCAAAAGGTATTCTTACCTTATGCTTAAACGTAGTGTTATCTAGGAATAGGAGGGTACCTGAGCAAAGATGAAGCAGACGGTCACGATTATCCGTTCTATTAGCCATGACACCATAAGATCCACTCAAATGTCTTTCCTTTTCACTTAGTCTACCTACTTGAGCATTAAAGTCACTAGCCATTGATGATTTTACTTGAATCAAGTGTGCGCGGTTCGGAAACACAAGGTACATCGACTGTATGGTTTTTGAATGGTTTCTGAATTCCGAAGAACAGTTCTAGAATTTAAGATATGCGCCTTTCGCAGTTAATCCAGAAGGAAAGCAACTTATACGGGTAAGAAACGGTTCTATCAATAATTGGATAATAGAAATAATTGCCTAAACAATAGTGCACTGATGTTCTTCAAATCTAACACAATTTGTTTCCAATTCTGGAAGAATGCTTCCGTTTAGGTCCAAACTCGCACCCTTCCAGTACAGACGTGCGTTTCACCTACTAGGGTGTCAGATCCGATATGGCTCACGCCACAATAAAGTATTAGTTTAAGCAACATAATACAGTTCAGTAGAAAACATAGAAACCCCAATAAAGGTATAAAAATAGAAACTATAACAAAATACAAGTATTAACATCACAAAATAGGATGAAATAGAGTACCAAAATGTAGCACAGAAAAAGTCAGTAAGAACATAATCCCAAAAAAAGCCTTCAAAATGGACTCTACATCGACTACATGGGATTCCAGAGTTCTGGCTGATGAAGCCCTATTCGGCATAGCGTCCCAAAATTAAAAGCTCCCATATGTGACTGAGTACGGGGATTTAAGAGAACAGGAATAATGTTTCGCAAGCTCATACCGTTTGCTTGGCATGAAGAGATAAACGATCGAAAGGAGGTTTGGTCGAGGAGATAAGGGATGTAATTATTATTCAAGAAATAGAATCTAGTGGAATAAACTTAAAATGAACGAGACAAAGTTGATGAGCGATTTGGAAGGTTACAATATGGGGGAACACAAAGAATGAATGCACCTGCGCCATTGCGAACCGTCTTCAGCCATGTCATTTAGGGTCTCTAATCATGGATGATTTTCATCTCACGGGCACCAACCAGTTAGCCGACACCCACCGACATGTCTTAGTCCACATGTCAGTGACTACATGGATTTCCGCCATGTTTTAGTCTGGCCGCTCCTAGCTTTTTTCCAACCTATTTCTACACCGAAACATATAGCTCGACGAGGCAGTCGGTGGTTAGGTATACGTAATATATGTACCAACCACCTCAAACGATGAAGATTTAATACTTCATC